CCCCCCCGCCCCCTGCCACTCAAGGCCGGCTACCGCTGGCGCCGCGCGCGCGCCCGCCACAGACGCTCAGCCAACCAATCGGAGAGGAGTAACCGCTTCTTCGCCCCGCCCCTCGCGGACCCTCACGCAGCGGCGTACCGGGTTCCCTCCCCCACCCCTTCCTTCAACCAATCAGGAAACGGCTCCAAGGGAGCGCGCGAGGTTTCCTTCCCCGCGCACCCGTTCTCACCGTTAAACGGCTGCGTCTCGCGACAATCCCAAAGTGACCTTTTTTCCCCACCTCCGGAGCTCAGCGAACGCTAGGGGCAATGGGAGGGGCAGGTCTCGCGAGGAGGTTGGTGGGAAGAAAACGCACCTCTTTCCCCGCCTCGCGCGCACCCTGGACTGGCTGCGCGCGCACCTGCCTCCCTAAGGAGCCGCTAATGCCACAAGGGCTCTTTCTATCGTTCTCCCTTAAGCCGCGGAAGTAGTCTTGGCGTTCTTCTGCCTCCACCCCGATCCCACTTTCCTGCCTGTGGCCTTTCTGTCCCCAGCGTCGCCAGGTCTTGCGGGGAGAAGGGGGGAATTTTTTTGAGCTGTCGCTTCTCCTTTAAGAAAAAAAGCCCCGTCGGCTGCCGGATGAAAGTGCCTGAAAAAATGGCGGCGGTAGAACAGAGGCGGGGTCGTGAGGGCAAGGAGGACCCGCCTTTTGGCGCATGAGCATGGTTAACTTGCCCAAAGGCATGCTGGGAAATGAAGTTTTACTTATCCTACGCCTTAGGATAATAGATAGGAAACCTGAGACAAAGAGAATGCTGGGCGTTTTTGACCGATGCCCGATGGGAAAGGTAGTTCATTTTTTCCGCATTCCGCGTTTACTCGGCCGGGGCGACTCTGTTTCCGGGTTAGGCCGCAACGCCTGCGCAGATCCGGGCACGAATGTTGGGCCAGCTATTTTTTTGGTCGGGTCAGCCTGGCAAGGCTTCCCCTGCTTTCTTTGCTTGGTGTTGGCGAAGCAGTTCTAGGATGGCCACGTAATAGTCCTTAGCTTTGTTTGGTTAGACGGCGCCTCATCTGGGACCAGCTAGCATTCATAGCTTCAATATTCTTCTGTGTCTGACCCACTAACCTGGGAGCCTCTGAGGTCAGGGTTTGAATCTGATTCCGCCCGGTCCTAGGGGGCCTAGCACAATTCTCAACTCTCATCTGATTTTTAATAAAAGTTTGCGGAAAGAACCGTAGAATTGTTTTTTAACTAGACGTTTTGGGGACCAAGGAACTGGCATCGGCTACTTAATTTGGCTGTGGTCCCTGGGCTGGAGGGGAAGGGTGAAAGATTGTTAGCGTGACTCCGGTGATCCACTAGAAAACTGAAGTCCTCTTTCAGACACCCCGCCCCGAAGCCATCTGCTTCTGCGGTTTCTAAATGTTTCTGCTGCACAGGAAGCATGGTCAGAATAGCAGCTTTGTCAGAAATTACTTTTCTCTCCACTCTCCACTCGTGTGCAACTAAATTGCCCTAATGCGTCAAACGGGAGTTTCCACATTTGTTTATCTGCAAGTTGCATTTGGTGAAGGCAGTGAGCCTCTTGCGTTCCTTCCTTTATTCCCTTGCATCTATTATAATCAAGGAGCGATTTGCAGGAACGATTCTTAACCTTGGAAAATAAAGCATCTGGGGCTAGAAGTCCCCAAAGTAAGTGAATGGAAACAAGATCTGGGAATCCAGTTCTAAAGTTCACATTAATCATTCAGTTAAACTGCAGATGGAGTTCAATATTTGCAAGCCAAGTGCTGAAGAGCATTTTTCCTTCCAGTATTTTGGCTCAGTTACCACTCAGATTAGGCAAATGTTCATATTCCCTGTTGAGTGTTTTGCGCTTTCATGGGGCTAATTGCATTTCAATTGTAAAAACTATTTGGCATATTGTGGATGGTAATTCTTTCAAACCCTTGTTTGCAGTGTGCAGATTTGGAATGGCACTGATACTCAATGACTGCTCAAAGTAATGCGGAGGTGGGATCTCCTTTACATTTAAAAGAAAAAAAAGAAAAGAAAAATAGAAGTTTTAAGATCACAGTGGAATGGAGAATGGAGAATTCGTTTAGATTAACCTAAAAACAAAAACAAAAACAAAAACAAAAGCCCATTGTGTTGTAGACGAAAGATTACAGGCTTTGAAGTTAAATATGTATTATAGTAAGTAGCAAAGCTACCTGCTAACTCTACTATCTTTAACAAGTTACTATTCCTTGAATCTATTTCACCACTGGTAGAAATGGGGATAGTATCTGTTTCATGGGGCCATGATCTTAGTTCTTTAAGTACTGCATTCTCATAGTAGGCATTTCGTAAATGTTTTATTTTATTCATGGTGAATAAAATCACTGTAGTTAAAGTGAAAGTTAACCTCAGTGTCACTTTCAGAGAAACCACTATAAGGCAACATAACTAGTCAGGAATTGTGCTTAATTGAGACATGTGCAGCTTAGTACCTGGTGTCTTAAATTTTTCAGGTTCATTCTTCATGACTTGTATAATTGTTTGCATTTTGGACCACTGAAATAACCCTGGCCCTGAGAATCCAAGTGGAAACCTGGCCTTGAGAATCCTGTTCTGCCTTTAATGGGGTTTAGGATCTATTCAGGAAAGCAGGTAAGCATAATTTCTGGATAGTTAAGTAAATAAAGACAGCAAAATGAACTGAGTGCTGGTTAATTCCAACGGAAATTTTATGAAGATTATGCTTTTATGGTCCTCAGCTTCACAGAGGGAAAAAAAAAAAAGCAGATTCCCTGAAGCACAGTCACAGTGGGATACCCACAACACTGGGGGAAAAAGCCACAAGGGCAAATCTGTCATTCCCATGAATTCAAGATGAAGCCTGGCACATAGTAGGTGTTCAAATTTTTCAGAATTTACTTTGAATCTTTTATCACCCTGGGCAGTGCACAATGGGGACTCAAATCCAACGACCCACCTTTCTATGTCAGTCTCATTTTTAAAACCCTGACCTACAAAAAAAAAAATCACCAAATCAAAAGAGAGGAAGTGCTAAGCAAATACAGGAACCAAAAAAGGGTTATAGAGACTGCTTCACGCTGGCTCATTCGGTTCCTTTGTGGTCCTCTTCTTCAGCACATACCAAAGCAGTTCCTCACAACCTGTGGTACCAGAGCATCTTGGGTGTGTTTCAATGGAAGAGTTGGGTGAGTGAGGAGCTTCTTGGAGGAGAAACTCTGAGGGAATGAAGATTTAGCTGCCATCTCCATATGGGGTGGGGAATACTTCTAGCCAGATGAAGGGTAGTGCTAGAAGATTTTATTTTCACTTCTCTCCTGATGACAGGCCAACCAAGAGTGAAGCGTGAGGAACTATGTTATTTTGGGGAACTATGGGTTCACTGTTTTCAGGGGCACAATAGGCAGAGCATTTGGTGCTAACCACAGAGTAAACTCCGCACAAACCCTTTTGGACTGAATTGTGATTTAAGTTGTCATTTTGTTATGAGCATTTTGCTCCTTGGGGGCTGCTGGAAATCATAGGGTGGCCACACAGTTGGCAACCTCAGAGATGTGATTTGGGGAGAAAAAGAAAGAAAAGGGAGCGTTAGGAGGAGAAGAAATGAAATAGAAGTACGAGAATGAGGGGTCCGCAAAGGTTGGAGAAAGATCAGAGTGATTTCATTTGTTCCATGGTTTAGTATTAAATCAAGAAGGCACAGCGCTATAAAAAATCCAGTTCTTTTCATTTTCGTTGCTAAATTTTGTATTGAGAGCAATTCTGGAGGAACAGATTACTATGGCTTGCAAATATGATACCTCCTTCTACTCCAAAGCAATTAAAACCAACTCTGAAACTGTTGGCCACATTGTTCAGAGAGATCCTTGATTTCAAACTTTTGGAGTAACATAAGGTTTGTCATTCTTGGGACTCATTCCGTATCCTTTGCCAATTTTTGTTGCTGTCATCCTTACTAACACTGAGTCACTAACCGTTGCCCAGTGTCCAAGCTGTGTGATTCCGCAATGTCCTGGGGTTTTGTATGTTTCAGTATGTTAAAAATGCAAACAATAACAATAGAAAACATGTCTTGTATATTGTCTTTTTTTTAAAACTGTAATTGGAGGGCGGTGGGTATAGCTCAGTGGTAGAGCACATACTTAGTGCGCACAAGGTCTTGGGTTCAATCCCCAGCACCTCCATTAAAAGAAAAAAAACCCAAAAACTGTAATTTAAGAGCTGGAGGAGTAGAAAAAGGAAGAAAGGCAAATTATAGGAGGGAAGAGAGATATTACTGAAAAGTAAAGGAGTATTTAATGTTTAATAAGTATTGAACTGTTTTGAAAGTAAAGCCTATTTTGCTACTTGGAGTAGAATATGTTTTGGACGTGGGGTGGAATGCAAATTCTTCTCCTGTGTGAGGGTTGGGGAAATTCACACTTTTGCCTGAGTTCCACCAGAGTCCAGCTCTGCTTTTTTATTTTAGGAACACCGAATGGCTTTCATGCAGTTAGTTGGAAAAGGAACTAATAGTTATGCAGTGACTTAAGTTAAAACTAGATGGTTTTACATGTAGTAATCATTTTAGTGTTCCAAGCAACCTTGTGAAATAGATATTATGCACTTTTTTTCAGTTGAGCAAGCTAAGAAAAGCAAAATAACTTGTTCAGTGTCACCCTCAGAAGCCTCTGACACCAAAATTGATTAAGATACAAGGTGTTTCCCAGTTTAGAAGTGTGTTGGCTCAGGGGTTTCAGCCAGTAGAATAAACTAGATAATTTAAAAAAGTAAAGAATAACCGATTTTCAGAGTTTTGTACTTCTTCAGCAGGATGGATGGGTGGAGAAATTTAATCCAGAAATGTAGAAAGTACCAAGCAGCCTGCAGTGTAACATTCATGTATATTATCCAGGTGGGCAGGCCAATATTTCCTCTCTGCAGTATTTCCCCCCAAGGTTGGTAGTTTGTATCCACCCAGAAGGTCTTGCTTAAACCCTCATTACAAGGGGGATGCTAGATAAAGGGGAGCTGGGAGTAGACACTGGCTCTGAATGAAATCACTACAGTCTAGTGAGATCACAAGAGATCTTGCTTAATTCCTTTCCTGAAAGTGAATGTTGACGTTTGACTTCCATAGATAAAAAACTATGGAAAAGGACTGTAGAGTTTTCAGTCTAAATACCCAACCTCCCCCCCAGTAATTCCGTATTTGTCATACTGAAATTAGTCATCTTCAAATTATAGCATCAGGCAAAAGGCAAGATAATCTGGGGGTGCTGGTGGTATGTATACTCATAGGAAACAGGAAGAGAAAGGCCTGTTAACTCATGGCCCAGAAAGAAGTGTTTTAGTAGCTCTGGTATGTTGGTGCTTCTAAGGGTAACCTTCTACTCTTAGTGGTATGGTTTCCTTTTCTTGTAGAGGATCTTCCCTCTCCCCTAATCTTTATTGTAAGTGACTTTTTATTTTGAATCCAAGAGGCTCCATGACTTCTGGTTGGAGCAAAGCTTAGAAAATAGAAAAGAAAGAAGCTATATCTTTGTAGAGAGCTACAGAATGAAAATCTGGAACTCAGAAATTTGGCTGCCTGGCTAGTAAAGTCTAGAGAGAAAAAGTTTTACTTTCTCTTTCTACCTTAGTTTTCTTTTTCTTTTCTTTTCTCTTCTTTTGAAAAAACTTTTATTACAGAGAATTTTAAAATTTACTGAAGTAAATAGTTTATTGAAAACTACTACTTTAAACAATCCTCAACTTTTGGCCAGTCTTATTTCATTTAAGGACCCACCCATTCCTTCTATTCCTAGATTATTTTATAGCAATTTCAGGCATTGTATCATTTCATCTGTAACTATTTCAGCATATTTCACTTACACAAATAACCATAACACCAATACATCCACAAAATCCTTAGTTGTAATTCCTTAATATTGTGAAATACCATTATCATACCTGGATTTTAACAGAAATTACTTAATATTATCAAACATGTTTATCATACCTAAAATAAATTAACCATATTTACTTCTTATTGAATTTTCAATCAGGGTTCAATATTCCTAATTGTTTCTTTTTTGTAATATTTTTGCTTGTTTATTTAAGATTCATACATTGAAATCAGTCACAAGCCTCTTAAGTCTCTTTTAATCTGTTGATTCCCACTCTGTCTCCTTTTTTCCATTATAGTTTATTTGTTGAAGAGTCATTTGCCCTGAAGAGTTTAGCTCAGTTTGCTTATCTCTAAAATGGTGCATAGAATTCAATATTTTTGTGAGATAGATGCTTGAGAAAGATCCATAGAAGATTTCGTTTGTGAGAAATGATTAGATCTTTTCCTATGCTGTTAAAAAGAAGTACCCATCCCCCAACATCTGAAATAAATAAAAAAAAATTTTTTAATGACCTGTAAAGTACATTTTCCTCATTTGAAGGTTTTAGAGCTAGGCAGATCCTTAGAAATAATACAATCCAGTGTTTTGCAAAATTTAAAAAACTATAATCTGTAGTAAACAATCCACTAGAGAGCCACCAGTGGGTCTCAATCCACAATTTAAAAAATACTGTTGTGATACAATTGTTTCATTATGTAGATGAAGAACTAGCTTCAGAGAAGAATATGTCATGCCAGGATGACCCAAAGAATCCACAGTGGGAATGGGGACTGGAATTTTCTGGCTTGCAGGGGCCAGGGGTCATATACCCCAGAATAAGCCAGGTTCTGCACTCAGTAGCAATGTGACTTTAAACAAAGTATTTGACTCTTTGTTGATCTACAAAATAAGGACAATAATATCACTAGCCTGAAAGCATTAGGATGATTATATAAATATATAATTAAATATGTAAGACATATATAAACTGGGCACAATGCCTGTCATGTGTTAATTTTATTAATTATTCGTATTAATTTCATCAAAGCAGAAAGGTAATAGTGTAATACTCACACAATAAAGTCCATTGGTTTTTCCCAAGAAAACTACAAGAGAAACAAATGTCAAATATTTGGATTGCAACGTCTTGCTTGGTTTTGCAATATCTGTTTTCTCCCCAGTCCTTTTTTTTCCCTACACCCTAAAAGACAAAATATTTTTACTTTGCTTTGAGAATTTTGTTATGTGGTGGGAATATAAGAAAAAAAATCATCAGGGTTAAGAATAAGTTTTACAGTCCTTGTTTGTTTTGAAAAACTGTAATATAATTGCTTACATTTTTCTGATAGGCAAAATATGCAGGATTTACATTTTTCTAATTGGGGAATCTTTGTGGGTGATCCACTCTAAGTGAATGATAAAAATGAATACCCTGCAATATAAAAAGTCATACTGAAGAATAAGACTATAAAATTGATTGCAGCTGTTGGGAATAAGAAACAGGCTACACTACGTGGAGGGCATTAAATATCTCCTGGTAGAATAGACCACATTCTCGAAGTCAAATAAGGTGTAAGGGAAGCTGTTTGAAAATAGCCTTAACCCAAGAGAAGAGGGAGATAAATGGAGGCACAGTGGGGATATTTAAGAGGATAATTATTCCAGAAGACTTACATGTTCTATATTATGATTCCCTTGTATCTTTTGATGTAGATGCCTTATTGGAGGAACTGGAAAACTCCACCCTCCAGGAGAGTGATGAATACTTCAACACAGCTTCTCCTTCCCCAGATCAGCATTCCAGAAAGGAGAAGAGCCTTGCTGACACTTCAATTCAAGACGACACAAGTTCCTTTCCGGTAAATTTTCCTTTATTAGAGTATCTTGAGTATAGATATTTGAGTGCATTTCTGAAAATTAACTGTATCTTACATATAACGATGTGAAAGGAGAATCATATATCCAAGAGAGAGTGAGAAAAAAAAATCCTCAATGGTAGATTAAAGGTCGTTGTTTTTGGAAAGAGGAGGAGAACTGAGAAAATCATCATGGGAGAATAAGCCTTTGAAAACTATTTCTTTTTTTGTAATGAGTGCCTGTTAACAGGCAGAGTATCCCCTAGTTCACTTGGGAGACTCTGATAGTACCGTGTGGGTATCCAAGATACGTGTTGCAGTTTGGCTGGAATGGTACTCGGTAAGGCCAGAGATCACCTGGGCAAGGCCAGCTCAGGCAAATCTTCTCAGGGTGACTTTTTAGGGTTACCACTTTCCAGGTCTTATTTTCTCCTGAATATATTGGGAAATTTAATTATTTGTATATCTAGAGACAGTGAAGCTCTAGGGAACCAACACAAACAAACTAAATTTATAAAAGATCACGTTAAAAAAAAAAAACTCCAGAAATCCAATTTATTACTCTCTGGTTAGAGTTTAAACTATCAAGTAGAACACATGCTAATATTTGCTGGCATGTATATTCCCTTCTTATGGGTAGGTCTGCATGCCTCTGCTTTATAATTAGAAGGTTGCTTAATCAGAATGAATTAGTGTAAGAGGAATTAAGTAGATGTTCTTCATATCTGGTGGTTTTGAACTATGATATTCTGATTCATCCGTGTACACTGTATGAAATCACCAGTAGCACAGACTTGAAACTTGAGCCTATGGGAAGGTTTCCCCTTTCACTGTTCTTCCTTCCAGCTACCCACATACAGTTGTAAGGATGCACATTTATCTCTCTCCTAGGGAGCCGCTGTCTTTGTTCTCACTGTGACATTATAGCCATAGACTCCTGACTGGCCCCCTTCCCTGATGCCCTTTGAAATTTATTCTCCAGACAGCAGCTCAGATGATCCTGTAAAACGTAGATCAGATCATCTCGTTCTCCTACTCAAAACCCAGCAATGAATTCTCATCTCATTTGGACTAAAAGTCACAGTCTTTCCACAGACCTTCTGGAGGTGACCATATATGTCTTGGTTCGCTTGGAAGAGCCCTGAGTTTATGCTTACTTTTTTGACACCCTATTATTGACTTAATTTTTACTCTAGATTTTTCCATTTCTTTGTGTGTGTGAAGTTTTAAAATTAGTATTGGCATTAAAGTAAACCAGCATGGGTTCAGAGACCTCCACCTGGTTCTTCTGTCTTCTCTCAGTCTCCTCTAGGAGCATATAAAACACACGGGCAGTGAACAGAGTGCTTATTTTATTATAGCTAGATCCAAAAGATGACTGATGACAATGGCAGTGCCAACTGGCCCCCGCGGGCCCCCAGACTTCCTGACGTCCTTACGGGTGTTTGCCTTAGCAGAATTCACAGCTCTGGGAGGTGGCTAGCCTCATGATGACTCAGGCCCTCTTATCACAGCCCATGTTTTCCCCTTATCGGAGTCATAAATTCCCCTACCTTGCTTATGTCAGCTCATGTCTCCATCTTACTGGAGTCGTAAATCCGCTAGCCTCCTGTGTACCACAGTCCCTTACCTCACTGATAGCCAGTCAGAAGGCTGTTCCCATCCTTGGTGTGCACAGCCCCTTCTCCAATAAAAGAACCTGCACGTTCATCCCTGCTCTCACACAGGGACCTCTCGTCTGTGTGGCCCGCTGTTACCTGTAGCAGCAAACCTATTAAACTTTTCTTTGTTCTTAAACTTCTCCTTGCCTTTGGTGAATTCTTTTACCACCTGTGACACCAGCCCTCCATGTGTCCCCCCAAAATAACTTGTCACTCTTTTCCTGATTTTGTTAAGACAAAAGCCTAACTGACAGAATCCTTTCAAGGACAATATGCAGAATGCTGGCTGTTAAAGCTAAGAGCTCAAGCGCAGCACTTAGGGGCAAACACCTCGGGTCTTATATGGTGGCAGAAAAAGTTTTGAGGTTTTTTTTTCCCCCTGCTGGCCACTTGATATATCACCACTCATGCCCTGCTGTGGTCCATGTAGTTGTCTCTGAGTTGCAGGAAGCCTTCTCAGAGAGAAAGAATATGGGATGTGGCTTAATATCATACAAATACCATACAAATCATGTTTAAGAAATACAGCCTAAGCATTCCTGCCATAGAGTGTAATCTAAATGTTCTTGTTAGAGCACTTTTGTCATTAATTGTATCTTAAAGCTATAACGTCTATTATTTAGTAATGCTTTTGAATCTTGCAACAAAAATTTTTAGCAGCATTTGGCTCAAACCAAAACTACATGTTTAATTGTCTCAAGAAAGTTGATGATAGGTGTGTAATTTGTACAAAGTATTTGTCAACATTTACCATCCACCATGGGGGAAGTAGAAATATCACTGTTCCTTTGAAAAACCAGAAGACACCAATGTGGTAAAGAAGCATCAGTATCTACTTCCAAAGTTAATATTTAATTCAAGAAGAAAATGCCAGAAGATGGCAGTTCAACATGTGAAGCTGCAGGAGGTGTGTTTTTACATGTCATTGTGAAGCACACCTTTCCATTGGAATCCAATGACTCTTCTAAATTAATTTTGCTCATTTTCAATTCCAAGTATTCTTGTGCTTTTAAGTAAATTGAGCTGGTGGTGATGAATGAATTGATCCCCTTTGCAAGCCATCAAGTAACATCAGATTTATATCAGTACCATCAGAGGCCTCAATTAGAAAATCTGTTAATTCAAGATGGTTTAATGTTTTCATCCCATTCAAAAGATCAAAATATTTGGAAATTCGTTTTTCTGTCTAAAATGAAACATCTGACATTGTTAATGCCATTGTAAATTTAGTTGAAAAGCCCAAGAGTGAAGATAAAATGTTTTTTTGGGGTGGTGATGATATTAACACAAATTCTGGTGGAGCACCGCATTGTGGTAAAATCAATGTTCTTGCATATTTAAAAGCCTGTGGAGCAGAAATGTCCTTGGGACTGGTTGTGATGTGCACAAAATTCATTATTGCAACCAAACAAGCTGTAGTATTCTATCCATCAAAATAGAAACTTCAATTGTTGAAATTTATAAACTATGTATATACACACACACACAATCAGAGTATATATACAGCTCATCTACAAAACTTTTGTGACAGAAGCTGATGCTGAATCCAGAAAGACATCGGCATGGCCGTGTATATATTCTCTCTGCATTGCCTGTCATCAACTGGGTTTCAGAAATGCCTGAGCCTTTGGAAAACCACTTTGTAAAACAACCTAAATTTGGGCCACATTATGTGCAAAATCAGTTGGAAATATTTAATCAAATTATTCAATGAATGTAGCATGAATATCTAGCTTTTGAAGTTTTTAACAAGTTCCAATTATGTGAAGCAAAGCTTGCAAAAAGGAAAAAGCTCAGATTTCTCCCTACAAAAGCTGGGGAGGAACTGAACAATAAAGGATGAGAGATCAAATGGTTTAATTACCTACTTTGAAAATTGTGCTTTGGGAAAATCTTGACTCTGATGGACCTCCGGATCTTAACTGGCTAAGTTTATATTCTCCACCAGAATGGGGTGAAATTGTGAAGGCCTGTGACTTTTGCAGTATCTACATTTGCTGAAATGGTAAATGACATCTCAAACAGAGACAATTTAAGAGCTCCGTCTTATAAAAATATTATTGAAGAAAAGTGTGACTGGAGACAGAAATACAGCACCTGTGAAAATATTGGGGCTGAAATAGTTAATATAAACATAGAATTGAAGATAGCCTCCATTTAGCAGAATCTGCCCTGAACTTACAGGTTCATCTGCATCGAGAGAGACAGCATTTTCTCAATTAAAAATATGGTCTACAGAGAAGCATCAATGAAAAGTGTCAGCAATTTCAAATATGTTAACAATAAAAATGCAGCTTTGCAGCAGATTGCAATTTTATAAAACAAAAAAGAAAATAAAAAGATCACATTGGAAAAAGACATTTTTTGCAGAAAAATTTCCACATCATAATGTTAAAGACAATAATGGCTAAGCAGCCAATTAAAGTATGTGTATATATATCTCAAGAATAGTTATTTACTTGTGCTATTTTAAAGTGTTCAAATAATCAATATAAAATGTTTTTTAAAAATCCTTTGCTTTAATGTTCATCCCTATGTGTCATTTAAAAATATTCTAGAAAATTTTATTTTGAGTAGAATTATTTTATAGGTCCACCAATATAATAAGATAAAAATTTTGGTCAAGAAATACATATTTCAAAAATTAATGTAATGTTAATTATTTTAGCACCCTTGTTCACTCTCAGAGGTGTCCAGTTTGAATAACAAGTTATTTGGTCACCTGATCTGCATGATTTTACCCTTATACTCTTTGCCTCTGTCTCATTGGTTTACTCTGTTCAGGCTACACTGGCCTCCTTTCTGTTCCACAGATGTTCCACGGTACTTTCTACCTGGACCATGTCACCCCTGAAATCTGTATACTTTCCTTGCCTCCTTTAAGTCCTCACTCAAGTGCCCCTTTCTCAGTGAGTCCTTCCCTGACCGATATATTTATAAATGCCATCCCTCCCCATTTCCTATCTCCCATCCCTCATTAATTTTTATTAATTATTTTTTTACATGTTAATTTGTTTATTATCTGTTTCTCCCCACCATAATGTAAGGCTCAGGAGCAATTTTTGTTCCTTTGTTTTGTTTTGTTTTTTGAATGCTACATCCCCGGCCCTGGCACATGGCAGGCGCTCAATAAATATTTGTTCACAAGGTAAGTGAACTACTGGCCAACTACTGTTTAGAGTCACTCATTATTTTTTTCGGTATGTCACATCTAATCGTGTTCTAGTCTTCCCCTAGACACCATCCTGTCTAGTTAAAGGAGCTTTGCTCCGACTCAGTTTGTTTTGTGGTTCCTTTCTGAGTGTGATGACTTCTCTCTTTCAGTGCTTTTAGGGCGGAGAGGGGGTACCATATTTGTTCACCTGCCAGCTGCTGTGCTTAGAATTTGGCCTTTCTCTATGGGATGGCTGGCATTCCTCTGCCTTGTGCAAGGAGATTTCAGAGACACACTAGCTATCAGTCCCCTTTAGAAGCTAAAACTCTACACTCTAACTCATGGTGTAGATAAGCACCAGCGTTCTAAATACAGACACTCATTCTTTGCTCTTCTCTGTCACTTGTATGTCTCAGGTGCAGCTCGTGTATACCACCAAGATCCAGGAGCCCAATGTCTACAGGTACTTTTTTTTTAATTAAATGCTTAAAGAATTAAGGTTATTAGATAATTGTTATCCATCTGTGTTTGGATCATAATTTGCAAGTGTTTATTATTAGAATTCCCGCTACCCTCCTCCTCATCCCATAGTCTGCAAGCAGAGGTGGAATTCTGCCCAGCTGACTTGGCAGCTTCTCAAGGAGCCTGGCTTCCAGACAGGTTGTCCGGGCTGGTGGACTCTGCTATTTCCTTTACCACCCAAAGAAGTGTCAATAGTCCAAGTTACCACAGATGTTTTGGCCCGGCTATTCTAGATAGCATGCTCCAGTTTACAAAAGAGAAAACACCTGTGGAAATTTCAGCAAGATGCCAACAGAATCAGTGATGAGATCAGGGCTGAACTAAGACAGTGGGTCTCCACGGCAGGGAGTATATGATGAACATACACTTCTTCCCATATTTGCTCAAAATTCATTTAGTGGTGGAGGGATTTCCTTTTAATAAAAGTTTCATATTGAGTCAGATCCACTTACTAAATCATTCCCACTGGCCAATGCAGGATTGACAGTCTACAAAAACTACAAGACTGTCTTTCCTGTTCTCTCTTCAGTTATAGCTTGCAATTTTAAAAGTTAGACAACATTCTGGGAAACAGATTAAAGGGTTTAAAATGTAGATAGTGAAGGTTCATGCTTGGGAAACAGTCCTACACCCCATCCTACCTGTTTCCGAATTGCAGCCAATAGTGTACAAACATGGCTCAAAAATAAAAGAAGGATGTGTGCTATCGGGAAGTCTTTTTATAACCCCCCACTTCAGGGCACTTTCTACTTTGATCGGAGTAAAGCCAATTTATCAATACACACTGTCAGTGTGTTCCAGTCCTAGGAAGCTGCTTGGTGGGCATGCCTCCTAGACCTTCCTGTCTCCCCCTTTCATAAAAAAATGAAACAAAACAAAACAACACAGCAGAACAACCCCAGTTACACAGCAGGCTCTCAGTAAATATTTTTAAATTGAGGAAACCATGATTTTACTGGAAATTCTAATAAATGCAGGAACATGATATGAAAATCAGCCCAGCCAACAGCGATGTCCCTGTGTACCTGGCACTGTGGTCAGCTGATGGCAGGCCCGTACTGACTTCCTCACACCCCCTCTTCTGTAGTATGAATCTCTGGTCTATTTCCCAGCAGTCCTACTTCTCCTTCTTCTCTTGTTCTGCTCTGTATTCCGGGGGAGCTGACCCCTGTAGATTGGGGTTCCCAGGCTCCAGGGTCTGTTGGCTCTCAGTGGTTTCAACAACGGGAGGGACTCTAGAGAGACTGGAGAGTGAAAGGCAGAGAAATGTGAGGCATTCACTGCCCCAGTCTCTGTCTCTCCACAGCGTCTCTGTCAGCAGTTGTATCTCCTTTTATGGCTTCAGCTGGAGAAAAACAGGTCTGGTGTGATTCCAGTTTATGCCTGTGAACCTGGGCTCCTGGGCCCTGGTAACTGCCTCTGTGCTTTGTCCCTTTGGCCTAATGGCTTCCTGCTGTCACTGATCTCCGGGTTCCCTCAGTGCTTGCTGTTTGCTTCTTAGCTCTCTCATCACCTAGGTAACCATGTTTCTGGATTAAATTCCTTCCCAGTGTTTGTGTTTTCCTGAGTGGACCTCGACGGATATACTTCCCATTACTGAGTGATACTTACCACATAGATCTGTGTGGGAGAGTGACAGGAAATCCAGGTGACCGAGTGAGCATGTAACGGACTGATACAAATCTGAGGTTGATATAATTCAGAACCAACAAGGCTCCTATGCACAGACAGAGCATGAGACTCAGAAACAAGATGCCTGCTTCCAGTTTCCACCATTTCCTCTGGCTTGCTTGAATTCACCAGACATCCCTTTCCACCTTGAAAGTATATTCACTACCCGTTGTGACTATAACAACATGATAATATTTAGAAATGTATCTTTTACGTGAATAAAAATAATTTGGGGAAGAACAGGGAGAAACACTTCATAAAAATTTTGCCGGAGAATGAACGAGTTAAAAATGAATCCCCTCACCTGAGCAGTCTGGATTCTTTCAAACGCATCTCTTGTATTTGTATCATTAAAACCTCTGAGTAATGAAGTTGTTGCCAATGACACCCCAGGCACCTTTACCGTCTTCCAGAGGTCAGGGGACAGATCAAAGGAGCTCTGATTTGAGGTTTCTTTCTTTTCAGGAACATTTCCTGTAGTGATGTAATCATCAACTCTTCAGAGCCTCTCATTTTTTATTTAGAATTTTTTTTTATTGTCAAATGAATTACTCTTAGGGTATTATGACAGTGATTAATTGCTCTTTATACACTTGCACTAGGAGTCCAGTTAGAAATCAGTAAGAGTTCTTTAAAAAAGCACAAATTTGCCCCAATTATGAGATGGACAGGCTTTTAGGATTATACAGACCCCTGTAAGAAACTACATTTATTCTACACTGGGGCACAGGGCAGAGGAGTATGTTCAGAGTCTGGGTGCCTTTTGTATTTCCAAGACACATGTCTGTGGCAGCAATTACTAAGGGATTATGACTGAAAAGAGTTGTGATGGGGAATGATGGAAATGTTAGGTATCTTGATTGTGGTGGTGGTTTCATAGGTGTGTACATCTATCAAAATCCATCAAATTGTACACCTGAAATATGGGTAGTTAACTGTACAGAAATTATACCACAATTAATTTGTTTTAAAAATTTAAAAAAAAAAAGACTTGTGAGAGAGAGCTCCTTTACACTGGGTGGAAACCTCCAAGGACTAAGTCAATCACTTGCATACCTGACCATTCCTGTTCTCAGGTTATAAAAACAAAAAACAAAAAACAACAACAAAAAAAACAAAAAAATTACATCTGGCAGGAGGCCATGTTATACTTAAAAGGCAACTTCCTTCTTTCCTCCTACGTTTTCCTTATTAAATCCTCAAACATGAGTGAGTCAGTTGCAGGACATGTTGTATGCAAGAGACAGTCTTTTTTCTTAGGAAAGATATCCATCCTCTTTCTACTTTTTCCCTAGCTGATAAATACATAAAAATAAGTAAAGTAGTAAGCTTTTGTTGTCATTTTGAAAATATATTTAGTGAAAAACTTGGAGTATTTGGTTTTATCTATGGCTTTGTGTGTGTGTTGTGTGTGTGTGTGTGTGTGAGAGCGAGCGAGCGAGCGAGAGAGAGAGAGAGAGAGAGAGAGAGGGAAACACACAGTTTGGTGGGTTGTTATCTAAGCTTCTTGATTAATGTTGATTACAAACATTACTCCAGAGTCAGTTACCTGTATAACCCAGTGTTTCCACTTCTCAAAATGTACTCTATGGAAATAAATATCAGATGTTTATTTAGCAGTATTGATTACAGCAGTAATCAAGCTATCGAGGTGTCTAACAATAAATGATTGGTTTAATAACCTATGGTCCATTATACACTTGAAAACTATGATTTTGGGTTTTGTTTTTTTTTTAAGACTCTTTTTTAATGGCAGTGCTTGGGATTGAACCCAGGACCTTGTGCATGCTAAGCATGTGCTCTACCACTGAGCTATGCCCTCCCCCCCGAAAACTATATGGTTTTTGTACATCATTTTAGAAAACGGTTTAGTGATGGAGAACACAAGCTTCACAGGCTGCAGGCCCAAACTCTGTTGTTCACCATCTGCATTGTATAGAGCAACGTTTTTAATTTCCCTGGGCCCCAGTTTTTTCATCTGGGGATGATAATACCTAGCTCTTAAGGTTTTTATGAGGATTTAAAGAGAACATGTGTAAAACCCTTTACAGCGGGCCTGACGTAGTCTACACACTCAATAAATGTTAACTATTATGGTTCCACAGGACAGATAAGGATATGGTACATAAGGATATGGAAAAATGTTAACTTTAAAACATGCATAAAATAGTATCATTCTGTTAACAGGAAAATGGGGTGCGAGAGGGTGGTCATGTCCCAGGTCTTGGGCGGGTCCCTGGGATGCACCCTGCCAAGTGAGGGTCCCTTGCTTTGCACAGGAAAGCATACAGAGCTAGCCATAGTAGAGTGAAAATAGATTTATTCAGAGAGATGCACACATCATGGACAGAGGCCGTCTCAGGAGGCCAGAGAAGCCATGAGGCATAGGGTGGGGAGGTAGTTTAAAGTAAAAGTAGATACACACTCCATAGACAGAGTGGGGATCATCTCAGAAGGCAGGAGCGAGAGACCACGAGGTGCGGGGTTGTTAGTTTTTATGGGCTTGGTAACTTCATATGCTCACAAGTGGGAGAATTATTCGAACTACTTAGGGGCAGGGGTGGGGGTTCCCAGACATTGGGCCACTGCCCACATTTTGACCTTTTATGGTCAGCCCAGGAGCTGTCATGGCAACTGTGGGTGTGCCTTTTAGCGTGCTAATGTATTACAGTGACCGTAAGATGAGGCCCAAGGTCTACTGGAAGTCAAGTCTTCTGCCGTCTTGGGCCTAAGGTCTACTGGGGGTTGATTCTTCCACTTTTCTTCGGTCTAGTAGGGTTTTAACTTGTGTATGTTCCATCCTGCACAGCTGTGTCATTCTTCTAATGGTTGTGCCCTGCCTCCTCCCGTCCTGTCTCAATTCTGATTTTATAAAAATTATACACAGTCATGAAAGAGCATAAAAATTTGAGCCAGCGTGTCTAGAGTATTAATTGCCTCTCAAAAGGAAGATTATGTGTGGTTTAATTTTTTTCTTTATATTCCTCTGCAGTTTTAACATTTTCTACATTTAATGTATTAATTTTATATTTAAAAATAATTTTAATAGGAATCACAACACTGTGACTATAGTAATGTAGTATACTGAAGGTTGTTTGTGGAATTGTTGTTTATGAACACATTCGTGTGTGTGTAACTAAGATAAACGTGAGAGTTGCACTACTGATGCCCCGACTGCCACCCCTATCACCTCATCTCTTGGTCATCAGTAGCTCTTTTCCAGTATAGATGACCTTTGTTTTGAAAATCTAGCTTAATGTGGATGATTATTTTTATAAACTCGTGTGTATGAAGAGTCAGACATACCCCTCTGCTTAATATTGCTGTGAACCTAAAACTGCTCTAAAAAATAGTCTTAACAAAAAGTCAAGGAAGTCAGAAATACACACGGTGAAAAGTGAGACCACCTCCAGTTTGAGTCGTCCCACAACCTAGATACCATCTCCATGGATTATTGCTGCCATGCTGTCTTTTTAGAGATGTTTATGGATGCACATTCACACTATGTATATATGCTTATAAGATTATGTAAGTGGACACATTTTTCATATTGTTCTGGGCTTTGCTTTTTAAAATTAACAACAGATCTTAGAAATCTTCTATAATTCATATAAATCTATGCATTCTTTTTTTTAAATTTGGTTTCTTTTTTTAAAAAATATTTTTTGTGGGTGGGTAATTAGATTTTTTAATTTGTTTATTTTTTATAGAGATACTGAGAATTGAACACCAGACCTTGCATATGATAAGCATGCACTCTACCACTGAGCTGTACCCTCCCCACCCTCTGTCTGCATTCTTTTTAGCAGCTACAGGGAATTCTATAGCATGGATGGACCAGAATTTGTTTGTCTGTATCTCCATTTGGTTTAGTTTTTATAGATATGTCCAATTTTTCTGTAAGATCGTTTTGGAAGTGAAATTGCTGAATCCAAAGATATCTGCATTTGAAATATCGATAAATGCTATTTCTTGGGTCCAAAATTTTATTTATCAATAATTTATTCATATTTATATAGATATGAAACCAATATCATATTCATTACCTAAACTCTATCAGGGGTCTGCAAAATTCTTCCATAAACGGTAAATAGTAAATATTTTAGGCTTTGTGAACTATAAAGTCTTTGTCACAACTATCCATCTCTGTAGGAAAGCAGGTATAGACAGTGTGTAAATGAATGAGCATGGGCCATATTTGGCCCATGGACCTTAGTTTGCTGAGGCCTGCTCTATATTCTTATTTATTTTTTTGTCTCTCACCTGATAATAACTGAAAGAAGGTATAATACTTTGTAATTTAGAAAAGAATGCTATTAAAATGAAAAAAATAACTGAGCCATGGCAGTAAAGCTCTTTTCAGAGGCTGCTTTGCTCCTAGTTATTGGGGAAGAATGACCAGCCAGCTGCATGCCCATTGTTTAAATTCATGAGAACAATGTTTGAGGTAACCAGAGGGAGACATGGAGACAAAAGTAGGGGAACCTTGGTGAGGTTTTTAGTCTAGTACTTGTTTTTTTAAAAGATACTCTCTATCTCTAGTTTTAGTCATATCTAAGGGGTCACTAGTTAAAACTACATTTTCTGGTATTTTATGTGCATCCTAACATGTCTTTGAGTTTCGATGTATTCGTATGATTTTTTGTTTTCTCCCTACAGTGAGGTCCAAAAGCCCAAGGAATCACCACCACCTCCTAAAACCTCAGCAGCCGCTCAGTTGGATGAGCTCATGGCCCGCCTGTGTGACATGCAGACCAAGGTGAGCGCAGTGTCTGTGACACAGCCTTCAGAGTTGATCTCTGTGGAACTCAGCTCTACATTCCCCCTTTAGGAACTCTTCTAAGCTGTCATTCGTTTTCCCATACTGAATGTAATTCAGTGGATGAACTCACCTGTGCACAATGTATTATTTGGACATAAAAGGTACTATGACACAGGCTCCGATCTCAAGGGGCTTGGAGTGTGCTTTGTAAAACAAGGCATAAGACTCTATGGAATTTATAAAATACAAGACTTGTCTGCCACCTTAGCTGGATGAAGGGTGCAAGGGCTGTTACAGAGACCTCCCTGCACAGGACAGAGGAGCCCCGTGGGCAAGCTGGGGCAGAGCAAGGGAGAGCAACGTGTGGCTCTGGAAGCAGGAAGGGTGATGAGTCTTCAGCTCATCCTGAGACAAAATCTGCCCCCTTGTTCTAGTCTCTGGAGTGGGGGTGTCAAGCTCACTGGCCTGGCAGGGAATGGAAATACACAAATGGACTTAGGAGTTTATTAAGGGAGTTATCATCTAGAACTGCTAAGGAAGAGAATCCAACCATTCTGAATTGGTTGGGGGATCTGATATGCACACATGAAGTGACTATGAAATCATTTCAAAGCAGTGTGTGACAATGTGTGGGAGGACAGAGAGCTTACCTTTGCGACTCACCTTCGGCTCCCAAGGCCCAGCACAGCTCCTGATACATCGTGATTAATACATAATTATTAGAGGGCCAAATGAATGGACATCAGAAACAAGTTTCCTTTAATGTCTACGATAAAGCTAGGTGCATTCCTCGTTGCTCTGTATATCTGAAAATACTGGAAAGAATATCTGCATTAGGAGTTTTAATTGTGTGGTACTTTTAGATTAATTTAGTGTGTGTCTTGGTTTATTTACATTAAAAAAGTATCTGTTTATTTTTTGAATAAGCCGTATCTTTACACCGTGCAAAAGTCAGAAGTACCAAAGCTTGCAGTGAACTGTTCCCAGCCGTCCAGCTCTGCCCCCTGGAGGTAGTCAGTACCTCCTGTTGCTTACATATCTTTTCCAAAAGTATTCTGGAATATACCAGCAAGTAGACGTAGATGTAGATGTAGATGTAGATACATATACGTTTCTTACGCTTTTACTTAGTCACTTTGCCTACTTAACATTGGTACCCTCTCAGGCCTTTTGGATGTTAGCTTTTGGAATGCTAATCTCGCCAACATTCACTAACAGTATGTAACAGAGGAAGAAGAAAATCTGCCACGTGATAAAAGTTTCTCGACAGGAAGTGAGCATTTTGGATTAGTGAGATAATGTGAGGTTATCCCAGGCAGTAAAAAGAGGATAAGTAGGGGCCTGAAGACAGTAACACACATCCAGGAGACTGCAGGGAGCCTGGCTGGCTTTACACAATGGGGGCTTTTTACTGAGTAATAAAAGATGAGATTGGAAAAGTAAATTGAGGGCTGTGGATGGGGGACGCTGAATGTCCGTCTGATGCTGTGATTTGATGCTGGAGGCAATGGAGAGCCATCGGCTTTCTCTGATCGGGACATATTAGGTAGATGGTCTCAGCAGCCCAGTTAGAAGGGAGTTGAGAGAGGCGGGATCAGGACATGAGTCGATGAAGGAGAAGTTGGGCAACTTTTTTGTAATTTGAGGTTTTTCTTTTGAAAGTTTTATCCTGACTGTTTGGGAGATTTGCTTTCATAAAGCCAATCCATCAGCAAGTTATCCAACGACTTCTCACCACATTCTCCACTAACCCTGGTCCAAGTCATTTCTGGGTTGAGCTGTTACAATATCTCCTGCCTAACCAGTGCCTCTAATTCCATTCTTGCTTTTCTACACCGGATTCCTCACTCAGCTACCACAGGGATCCTGTAAATCAGATTCATTCACTCTCATGCTTGAAACCCTCTAATGGTTCCATCACCCTTGGAATAAAACTGAAGCTTTTTACCGTGAGGGTCCTAAGTGATCTTTGCCTTTTTCTGCATCATTTTCTCCTGCCTCCCTTATTCTCACTCCCTCTGCTCCAGCCCTACTGACCTTTTTAACTTTTCTTTTAAAGTCTGGCTCCTTCCTCTGGGCTTTCCTTCCTTCTGGAATGCTTTCCCCACAGGTACCTATATTTCTGGGTCCGTACATCACTGAAATATCTGCTCAAATATCACCTCCTTCGAGGGCCTTCTCTGGTCACCCTCATCTCAATCAATTCTTCCTCACCACCCACCCTCTGTCGTTTGTCTTGAGATATAACGTATATTTTTATCTTTACTTGACATCATGTTGTACAATTATTTGTTTAATTGCTTATTGTCTTATCACCCAGAGAATGTAAACTCCATGAGGGCAGATACTTGCTTGGTCATGTACATTGCTCTATACCGAGAGCCTAGAGCAGTGATTGGCACAAATCAGGTGCTCAATAAATATTGCAAAATAGATGATGAAGAAGAAGATAAGACTAGTCGCTGACCTGTGGTCGTCATAAGAATCAGAAAAGGTATCATCATCATACAGTCAATTTCCTATTGCCAGAAAAGATGTACAAACAGAGGAAGACAAGTCAGATCTCACTGGGCCTGAGGAACTTAGAATGAAAGGGAGATGAAAGCATTTTTACTGGGTTACAATGTTAGATTATTTCAATACCTCGGAGGCAGGTTGTGGGAAGACTAAGGAATCAAAGGTACATGAGGCTGATTCTCTTCATGGTTCTCTGTTTGGTATCAGGTTACAGTGAAAGCAGATGCCAGCAAGAAACACTTAACACATCAGCAGGATCAGAAGGCCTCCCTGGACTCCATGCTGGGGGGTTTGGAACAGGAATTGCAGGACCTTGGAATTGCCACAGTGTCCAAGGGTCATTGTGCTTCCTGCCAGAAACCCATTGCTGGAAAGGTGGGACGGGCCAAGATGTTGATTCTACAGCTGTGTGTGTCTGTGTGCACGTCTGTCTCCGTGCCATCAGGACTCATCTTTCTCCTTATCTTCTAAGACATTTTAGTAATCGTTGACACTTACCGATCCCTTACAGCGCTCCAGGCACTGAGCTAAGTGCTGTACAAGTATTCCCTTATTTAATGGTCACACGAGCCCTTCAGTGGTTACAAGCCCTTTGTAAAGATGAGGAAACTGAGGGCTCGAGGGCGATAACCAACATGTCCAAGGTCTAGTAAGAGGTAGAGTTAAGATCCAAGCCCAGGAGAGTCTGGCTCCCAAGTTTGAGCTCTTAACCACTTTTCTGTACTGCCTTTACCTAGAGGAACCTTCTTGCCCCTCCCTCTGCTCAAACATTTCCAGTGTAAATTGATCGATTATGATTTTTAGCTGCACTTTAGCTCCAAATCATGGCCACAAATTTCTGCTCTGGCATCATCTTTCGCTAAAACCATAATAAAAGGTTTTTTTTAATTTAGTGGAGTTGCTGGGAATTGAACCCAGGACCTCACGTATGCGCACGTGCTCTACCACTGAGCTATACCCACCTCCCGTAATAGTGGGTTTTGAGACCTGACTTTGCCTGGGCTGAGAGATGTAGATCAGAGGAGTAAAAACTGTCATTGGCCTTTTCCTCTTCCAGACATCCGTTGCAAGCCAAGGCTGCAGTTATCTCTTGTCCATCACTTCTGTGCTCTATTTTGTTTCTCCCACTCTCTGGGGCAGTATATTGGAAATGAGCATTTATAAACTGTATGTTTTTACTGAAATATAGTTGATTAACAGTATGTTTTTGGTATACAACATAGTGATTCAGTTATACATATATAATGTATTATATATGTAATGATACATATGTAATTCAGTTATATATATAAATGATTCAGTTATATATATATTCTTTTTCATATTTTTCATTATAGGTTATTACAAGCTATTGAATGTAGTTCCCTGTGCTCTACAGTAGGACCTTGTTGTTTGTGGGTTTTTTAAAATTTTTTACTTTACTATTATTATTTTTATTTGGGGGATGGGTAATTAAGTTTATTTATTTATTTTTAATGGAGATACTGGGGATTGAACCAAAGACCTCGTGCATGCTAAGCACATGCGCTACCACTGAGCTCTACCCTCCCCTCCCAGGACCTTGTTGTTTATCTAGCATTTATAGGCTCTATCAGTGTGATCAGTCAGGCAAGTGGGCACCGTTTTATTATCCATAAAGCAAGGACAACAGACTTCACAGTGGAACCTTGGTGGAGACCTCTGTGTTGTGTGTCAATGCCTCCCGGGGGGTGGCATTTGCATGGAATAATGTTTGAGAACACCCTGCAGCCTGTGGACCCCTGAGCACCGACGGGGCCCCCATGCCAGGCTTTGCTTCCTTCTCCAGGTGATCCATGCTCTGGGGCAGGCATGGCATCCAGAGCACTTCATCTGTGCTCACTGCAAAGAGGAGATTGGCTCCAGTCCCTTCTTTGAGCGCAGTGGCTTGGCCTACTGCCCCAAGGATTACCACCACCTTTTCTCTCCGCGCTGTGCCTACTGTGCCGCTCCCATCCTGGAGGTAAGCAGAGCCGCCTGCGCCCTGCTCTCCCGTGGCTTAGAGCCGGGGCCCTGTCTTACGGCCCTGCGGCATTCTAACCTTCTCTGTGTGTTTCTTTTCCAGAAAGTGCTGACGGCCATGAACCAAACCTGGCACCCAGAGCACTTCTTCTGCGCTCACTGTGGAGAGGTGTTCGGTGCAGAAGGTACGACCCGGGGTAGTTTCAGGAAGACCAGCAGAGCTCTTCCTTGATCTGCTTGGGTGGCCCTGGTTCCTGCCGTTGCCATCCAGGTGCCCATTTCAGTACCAAATGCCATCCCTCCCTGCCCTTTTCCAACATTTATAAATTTTGTTTAAATCAACTCTGTTAATCAAAGAAATACAAATGCATTGTTTAAAATGCATATATTACTTCAAGGGTAATATTTAAAAAGAACAATCTCTTACTTTTCCTTTCTCTACTCCCAAATCCAGTTTTCCTTTCCAAACTTTTTTAGCTTCTTCTGTTATTTCCTTGTGTGTTTTACATAATATATTACTATGCATTGATTTCCTCCCCCCCCCCCCAGTTTTAAATACTGTGTATGAACTTCCTACCAGGGAAGATGAGGATTTAGAAATGGTGTTACTACCGCACCCACCCCAACATAATCCCCCTCCCCCATTCTCTCAGTTATAATTAGGTCATAATTATGGGTCAGATCAGTATTCAGTGTGTGCATGTTGACAGTCACGTAAATATTGCTCCCAGTTGAGCCACATAACAAACTGTGATACGGCAGAGCATGGATTTTGGAGTCAGACTGTCTGGTTCAAATCTGGGCTGTGGTATTATTCGCTATATCTTGTTAGTCAAGTCGTTAATCCTCTCTGTACTCACTTCCCTCATGAGTAGAATAGGCCTAATAATAATGTTTGCCTTATAGGGTCACTATGAGGATTTTATTTAAAAAAGGTTTTTAATAATTTGGGGGGGAGGGGATTAGGTTTATTTTTTTACTTATCTTTAGAGAAGGTCGTGGGGATTGAACCCAGGACTTCATGCATGCTAAGCATGCATTCTACCCCTTGAGCTATACCTCCCCCTTGAGGATTCTGAGAGACATTACCAGCATAGTGTTTAAAATAGTGCCTGGCACATGGAGATAGTAATGATGATGATTATGATCACGGCGTCCTTTTTGTATAAATTTTCTTTTTTCTGAAGTTAATATTTGGATCCCTTTTTCATTTGCTTACATTTCAGTGTATGTATCATTAATTTATCTGGCAGAGCTGCGAAATCCTTCTCAAACTGGTCACCCACACCTGGTACTATGTCAGTTCCATTTGCTTTTTCTTGGAGACAGCCATCCAGAAGACTTCCTTCGTCCCGCTCCAGCCAGAAGTGGGTTCTCCTCAGGCCTGCTGAGAGGCAGTTATTCTGGGCCATCTTCTTGGGAGTTCCCTTGGCTGTTTTCCTCTTTGGATCCTCTGTTTCCTGGATCCTGTGGCTTTTATTACATATTACTGCCTTTATTTTGGTGGAGCACACCCTCTAGTAGCTCCTGAGAAAGCATGAACAGGAGGTGAAAGTTCTGAAGTCTTGAACATCTGAAAATATTTGCCTATCTGAAGTTGCCTGGGCATAGAAACTAGGTGGAAACTATGTACCCTCATCATTCTGAGGACATTGCTTCAGTGTCATCAGTGTTCATGGTTGAGAAGTTTTTTTTTTATTACAATTTTGGTCTCATTCCTGATCCTTTCTACGTGACCTGTTTTTCCCTTTTTTGCAAGCTTTTTTTTTCCCTTCTGCTTTCTGAATTGTCTTGATTTTTTTCTGACTTCTTCTTTTTATGTTTGTTTTGAACAAATATGACTGATGCATGAAATCAGAAAGCTTCTTTACTTTTTTTTTCCTTTTCTTTTCCTGTCCATTTAGAGTTAACTCAGTGGGGAAAGTTTTCTTCTCAATAAAAATGTGGGTAATCCCATGTCTTTTTTGATAATACTCAATAAACTCTTCTAAAGAGAAAATTATGACAAAAACACAAGACTAAGTCCTTTGGTAATTCAGTCTGTGTAATAGCTAAAGCTTCTAACTTATTGTAAGTGACAGCTACCCTTTCCCCCAGTGGGGTCTTTAAGCTGCAGGAGGCCAGGGAAGGGGGTTATGGCCTTTCTTTGGTCCTTTCCCACCTTTGGCATCCACCACCCTCATACCTATCACTAATCTTTTTGTTTGTTTTTGTGTGTAGGGGGGGGGTAATTAGGTTTCTATTTATTAATTTTTAACGGAGGTACTGGGGATTGGACCCAGGACTTCATGCATGCTAAACACGTGATCTACCACAGCTATACCCTCTCACTCCTGTCACTAATCTTGATAGCTGACCCCTCCAGGGTTGAAACAGGGGTGAAAGAGATGAGACCATACGCTTTATTTGAAGACAGATCTAGATAGAGCAGCACTGATAAAATACACTAGCAGAGTGCTTTGTAGTAATTTGCTTGTTCACTGAAGCTTGTTCAGTGCTTTTCACAAATCATTAGATCTTTCATTTTTAGATTGCACTTTAGTTAAGCTCGTTTTTCATTGAGATTTAATCTAGTTTGTGGTAAATTTATATTGCACTGGTAGCCATGGAAGTCTGAGGGTTAGTTGATTAGACAGTCAGCAAGTGAATATCACCCGTGGATGAGTGTGATGTGGAAGTTGCCTGAGCGCAGAATAACAGGATACAGACATATTTCAAGACCTATAAGTAAGATATGAAAGAAAAATATCCTATTCATAGGATGACCAGAAGTGCCATGACGTTAGCTAGTTCTCATTGTTTCTGACTTGGGCTCCTTCTAAACAGACAAGGCTGATTGGGTCATTCCTGACTTTACAAAGTAAATATAAAGCTACACCTGTTTTAAACATTTATTGAGACAATGGACCAAAAATGTCATTTATGAATCAGAAGCTCTTCTTGGGTTGTGTTTTTGTTTTTATACTTTTTTTCTGTAAATGAGTCTCCTACCATGTGACCAGTGCATTAATTAGGTGGCATCCTGTCTTGCCCCGAGTCACATAGTCACACACAAAGTTTCTGAAGTTTCTGTGATGATGGCTTAACCACGGAGTCTCCTGGGAAATTAAATTCATCTGCATTTTTGTTTCCCTTCAGAGAATTCCTCTCTGAGGCTCAAGCTTCTAAGCACATCAGGCCTTCGCATCCTCCCAGAGGGACTAGGTCCTCAGTGCCTACCTCTTTCTTTTTAATTGTTCGTTATCCAGGCCATGCAGGTGCTCCCTAATTTCCCCTGTGTCTAAGAGCCTCCTGGGCATAGAAACACCTTCCCTCTGTCTAAGACACTTTTAATTGTCAGTGTTTCTTATCCATCCTCCGGAGGTAATTGGCCCCAGAGAGGACCACCCCCCCCCCAGGAAAGTTAAGTGCTGAAACTTTCTCAGAGAGTTTGTTGGGTTACTAACTGCAGGGGTATCACAGCAAGTCTGGCTGATTGCTTTTCATTCTTCTCCTGGGACTCACCTGAGTTGAAACAGAGGCTGTTACCTTCCTGCTGTCTCATTCTTGAGAACAGCTCCCCCATAAATGCCTAGATGAGGGTCTTTCCTAGGTCAGTTGGCATGTCTTATAATTTTCTCAAGTAACCCTACTCACAGGCATGCTCAGTTTTGTGCCATGTGCTTCATGAAGCATCAGCGCCACCTGGGGACTTGTCAGAAATGCAGATTCTCGAGCCCCATCCCAGACCTACTGCATCAGAATCTCTGGGTGGGGTGGGGCCCAGCAGTTGGCACGCTGACAACTGCTCCAGGTGATGGGTGCAGGCTGAAGTTTGGGAGCCACACAAAAGCAAGAAAGGTGGTTATGGGTGTGGGTTTGTTTTTCTTAAATAGTAAGCAGGCCTTCCTGCTTCCAGAGGTACCGGATCAACACTAGATAGTCTCTGATAAGGCGGAACAAGTAGGGTGAGCTCTTCTGTATCTCAGAGGTGTAGAATAAGAACACAGGACAGCTTATACAATCACTGGTTTGCATTCTTCGATCCAGAGGCCTCAGAAATCTATCAAACTCTGTTTTTCAAAGAAAGCACAGTGAACAAGACAAGGCATATCCAAAGTGCCTGTGGATAATGGGCAACTGCAGCTACACGGTTTGGGTCCCACCCCCTGGCTCCTCTGTGGCCTTTTCTCGGTCTGACTGCCACTAGCAAAGAGTATTTCCGGAAATGATGCTCCTTGGATGGGCTGCATTCCAATCTTCTGTGCATTTTGTTTACAAGCCACTTTCCTGGGGCATAGTTAGAGCTCTCATATTTACAGAATTATTGGGTTATGATACTTGGGCTCAGCTGGTACTCTCAGTTCCCGCAGAGAAGTTAAGGTCAGAGTCCACTTAAGTCAAAGGTGTGACCTCCAACTTAGGCTTTAAAGTGAGATTTGAATCTGAGTTCCTCCACGGACTAGTTGGTTCTATGAAATTTCTCTGAGCTTCCCTTTTCTCACTTGTAAACTGGGAGGACCTCTGTAAAGAGTCTAATTTCAGTTTAGAAATGAAGGGCTCTGTAGGTAGAGCCCTCAGCTGGGATCAAGACAAAGTAGGCACTGCAGAAATGGGATTGTTAATAGTCATCCTCGCTTCTGGCAGGCGCTCCTTGTGGATGCTAAGAAGAGTTCCTTTCAGAGAAGTTCCCCTGCTGATACAGGTTCTGGTGAACCCAGAGCTGATGGTCTCAGTTTTTCTGTTGTCATGTTGTTCACGTGTCTGCTCATCCAGTGAAGATTTATTGAGCACTTGCTATGTGTGTATCAGCTACTATTCTAGGTACTAGGGAGACAATGACAAAAGACAATGTTCCTGCCTTCATGGTGCATGGATTCTAGTGACAAAGACAGACAGTAATCACACTAGCCAACTAACTAACTAACTCTGTAGGTTGGGGGGCACGTGGAGAGTAACAAGGTGCTATTTGAAATAGGGTGGTCTGGTCCTCTTAGGCAGTCCCCCGAGTTAAGGGAAGAACCAAACCAGCAGGGTATCTTGAGAAGCGATTTTCAAAGCAGAGGGAATGTATCACTTGAATATGGCTTGAAGATGAATTAGTTTATTGCATTTTTCTTTTTTTAATGTGAAGACAATAAAAAGACCCTGCATAAATTTTCACTTATAATCTATTACCCTGTTAACCTCATGCAACATAAAACATTTTCCAATATTTCTTCTCATTTATTAATGTTTATGCATATAAAAATTATATTGTACCTGAATTTCTTTTTTCACTTAAGCATTTATCCATATTATTTCATAATTTGATAATAATAATTTTAATAATATTAATTATTCTATTAGAGCTTTATGCAAACAAATTATGTAAGCTTATATGGCTGAGGGTGTTCACCAAAGCATTATCCATAGTTCCAAACATTGGAAGCAACAAAATTTGTTCACAATTGTATATTTAGATTACTTCTGGTGTCTTAGTAATATAATGTAATGACTGTCTTTAAACATAGCATTTTCTTCTACTGAATTATTTGTATGGATTAATTTCCAGGATTGATACACATTATCAAAAAGACTTTTCAAAACAATAACATTCAACTTTATCACTAGAAATATAGAAATACATGAATACCTCCATATATTTATTTGACTGTTTTTACTACTTAGCTAAAATTAGAAATTAAACTATTAATTAGCAAAACTTAGAACTTCATCATTTTCTTTTGAGTTTCATGGCCTACTCGTAATGCTGAACATTATTACCTCTAAAAGTATTTCTTCTTGGGCTAATTGTCTATTTGTGAAGCAGCCTTATTTAAAAGGGTTTAAAAAAATTTTTTTTGAGGGAGGAGGTATTAGATTTATTCATTCACTTATTTTTAGAGGAGGTACTGGGGATTGAACCCAGAATCTCCTGCATGCTGAGTATGCACTCTACCGCTTGAGCCATATCCACCCTTTAAAAGAGTTTTAAAAAAAGTAATCACCATGCATTTCTCATCCTCTGTGATCTGGACACAGGATCTGTAAAAATCAAGCCATGGGTTTTCTCATACGCACCTGACAGTGAACATTTCACGTAATAAAGAGAAAGCACTTACACCTCAACAAAGTTATTTCTAACCTTTTTATTACGAAATTTTTAAAACACAAAAGTGCTTCCTTACCTAGCTGACTTCAATAAGTGCCAACATTTTGCCAAATGAATTTCCTCTAACTGTTACCCACCCATCCTTTTATCTTGATGGAACGTTTAAAAGCAAATTCTAGAAATCGTGTCATCTCGCCATTAAATACTTCATCACACATCATCTTTAACTGATAAGTAGCTTTTTTTAAACATAGCTTCCTTCACCCTTAACAACAAAACTAAAAATTTCTAATTATCACTTAAAATCTATGTCCAAATTTCTCAATTTCTAAATAGTGTTATTTACTTGCTTTGTTTGAATCAGGATCCAAGCAAGGTCTGTTGACTGCATTTGACATTTTATCCCTCAAAATTTTTAAATTCTGCAATAATCCTCTCTTCGTTACTTTTTTATACCATTGACTTAAGAAACTGGAACGTATGTCCTGTAAAATGTCCCGTATTCTTGATTTGACTGGCTGCCTCCTCACGATGTTTAACTTATTTGCTTTATCCTCCTCTTATCCTGCCTTCTCCTGTATTTTCTGTAAACTGTTCATTTAGACCTAGAGAATTGATTAGGTTTAGGTTCAGTATTTCCGGGGATGAGAGCCAAGAATGGGTTACAGATAGAGGCTATTGGGTACTTCTTTTTTAACCATATCAAGAGGCGTAAGGGGGTGGGTATAGCTCAGCGGTAGAACACCTGCTTATCTTGCATGAGGTCCTGGGTTCAATCCCCAGTACTTCCATTAAAAATAAATATACCTAATTACCTCCCCCTAAGATAAAAAATTGAAAAGGTGTATAATAACTGGCTGACCTACTTTTACTGATGCCAAGATTGACTGGTTTCAAGCAGTGTCAACCTGATCCCTCCATTGTAAAGTTCTCTATTGATGATCCTTGCCAACGTCTGATGAGCTAGGTTGCAAGATGGTAAATTTTCTATCATTTTTTTCCATTTGTTAGCTGGGATTAGATAAAAAGTAACTTTTCATCATCAACTATTTGGTTATCTTGAAATATATCTCATATAGGAAAATTGGATAAATGTTTCCCCCTTTCCCTTTATAAGGATAATTTTAAGAGTAGTAAGTAGGTTCATTAATAATACTTAGTGGAGACTGAGTTTTTACTTGCTTCATATTGCTATTAAATCATAAAGTTATATTTATTTGGTGTGATTTGATCAAACGCAGCAGTCTTTTTTTTTTTAATGCTCAAATTGTTTTATTGGAGGCTGGTAGTAGCCCCTCTCAGATCGATTACTGTTTCCTTTTAACATGACCCCAATAACCCACGATATCTTCCTGTTTCCTTAGCACATCAAGATACGGCAGGCTCGTCTTGTCAACCATGCCCCATACCTGGAACCAGTCATTCCTCGGAGAGGGCTGGTTAGTTTTAGTGGGAAATTTTATTCAGCGACCACACTCTGGGTGCTAGGAGTGTTCTTTGCTTTTGTGATATCATTGCTTCTAGGTTTTTCAGTGGACAGAACTTAGAATCTGTTTTTTAAAAAATAAAGCTAAATATGAATCATGAATTCTTACTGATATTTGTAAGATTTGTAAGATTTTTTTCCTTTACTTGATAAGTTTAACATTATACTTTTATCTTTTTTTAGACTGAAAACCTTGCTTCCCAAATGCATTACCCTGTTACCGTAATTATTTGCTTTATTATAAATCGACCCATATTAATTTAAAAAATCAATATAAATATTGCAAAAACAAGGTTATTGAAAAAAGTTTATGAATTTTTTATAGCTCTTTTCTGTCTTTAGGATACATCCATAGGACTGCAAGTCAAAATGCTGTTTTAAAGCCACTTAAGTGAATTATTGCCTTCCTTTGGTCATATCATCAATATGATATACAGTTATTTGTTTAAACTTGATTTAATTTTTTAGAGATTGATTTTTTTTCTACTTTTAAAAATTTTATAAAACAATGATTGAAATCATACATACATTTAGGAATTCCTTATATTAACTAATACTTTTCTGAGACATAATTAACAAACATTTTCCTCAGTTTGTCCTTTGTCTTTGCTTAGGCTGCTTTTTGATCATGCATAAATCATTCATATATACTTTTAATGTAGCTAAATGTATTAACTTTAACTTGTTCTTGAACTTTGAGCCATTTTTGTGACAGTTTTCTTAGTCCCTGATCAAAGAGGAACCCATCCATTTTTAATCCAAGTAATTGCATGATTTGAATTATTACATTTAGATCTTGCATCCATTTGGAAATTATTATTTAATAGTACTTTATTTTTAAATATTAGGGACGTTTTTCCCAAATACTATTTTAGATACTGGGGATATAATGTGACAAGACCAACAATATCTAGTTTCTTTCAGAGCAAATGTTCCAGTGATGGAGGACAGACCACAGAGTGGTCTCATATAATGGTAGATGCTATATAAAGGTAATTTCATATAATGGTAGATGCTATAAAGGCGATAAAAAAGAGATGAAGTGATAGATACGGGCTGAAGAGATGCCCCTCTGATACAATGATGTTTGAGCTGATTTCTGAATCCCAAGATGAGGCTAGCCATGTCAAGGCCTGGGGCAGAACCACACAGGCCAACAGAACACTTAGTACAAAGGCACTGAGGAGGAATAGACTTTAACGCTTATGTTAAATGCTTACTATGAACCACGTTACCTGTATTGATTGCCTTGTATGTTTCTTATAACCACCCTTTGAGGTAGGTATCTATTTAGCACCACTCTGAATAAGGGGACACTAAATTTGGGAGACCATTGGCCCCTTCTTAGTCTCCAACGTGGCTTAAGGTCTCAAACTGCGAGAGTGAGTCTTTGCTTTTATCTCTCCAGGCTTTCATGAGAAGGACCAGAAGCCATATTGCCGAAAGGATTTCTTAGCCATGTTCTCACCCAAGTGTGGTGGCTGCAACCGCCCGGTGTTGGAAAACTACCTTTCAGCCATGGATACTGTCTGGCACCCGGAGTGCTTTGTTTGTGGGGTCTGTATACTCATCTACCTTTCAGATTTAGGGAAAGTCAGTGTTCTCCTCCTCGGAGAGGCAACTGGTAAGAGGGCTCACAATTAGGATAAGGAATTGATGGGGGCTTCTTAAAAGGAGACCCAAAACACAGCATCCAATGTGGCCATTTGCTCATCTGTTCTACAAATGGGCAATAGTTTAGCCTCTATTTGTCAAGAGCCCGAATGAGTTCCTCCATCTGGCAGGTGACTGGCAGGGATTTCAAGGCTGAAAATTTACCTTTGCTGCTGTTTTCCTTCTTGACGTCGGCATTTCTCTTCTTGGTCTTCTCCCCACCACCCAGGACTGCTTTAGCGGTTTTTCTACTGGCTCCTTCTTTGAACTGGACGGACGTCCCTTCTGCGAGCTCCATTACCACCAGCGCCGGGGAACCCTCTGCCATGGCTGTGGGCAGCCCATCACCGGCCGCTGCATCAGCGCCATGGGCTACAAGTTCCACCCCGAGCACTTCGTGTGTGCTTTCTGCCTGACACAGCTGTCCAAGGGAATCTTCAGGGAGCAGAACGACAAGACCTATTGTCAGCCCTGCTTCAATAAGCTCTTCCCACTGTAGTCTCACCTGAACCCACGCCCTCTTCAGATTTACTATAACGTGGAAACCCAGAGAGGAAAGGGTGTATTTGAAGTTACTGACCTTCTGCTCAATAGGCTTATAGAGAAAGCCAAGGTGATGAACTTCTAGATGTTACATGACCAGGCTTGTAGTCTTAAATTTCGATTTCTAGTCTTACTATTTTTTTTAAATCATGTACTGGAATTTAGGTAAAGCATCTGCTGTCTAGTGTCTGTATAGATGCATTTTCCACATGCACACATTCATTCCACCACTGGCTTACTTAGACTTCTCCGTTTTCACCCCTATGATCACCCTAAGCTTATCTGCTCTCTCTTGGCCCTCAGAACTGGCCGTGTCCCTGTGACTCGCTTTCTCACAGTCGCTGCTGTGGACTTTATTCTTGGGGAATCGTGATACCCTTTTAAGCTCCTGGCATCTCCCTTCAGTGCAGTTCTTTTTTTCAAGAGAAAGTAGATGAACTGGACAGCCTTGAGTACTGACATCGTTGATAGTTTGTGGTTTTAGTGACTCAGTGTTATATTAGTTTGGTCAATAAACTTTCTGCTTCCCATGGTATTTACTGGATACAACGTGCAATTAAATTTGTGTCATGCCTCTTGTTTACTCCCATACAATAGGCACTTTTGTTTAAATCAAAAGAAATTAAAAGGAGGGATTCCTAGTCACTAACTTTTCTCTTTATTTGGGCCCATAACATTCATTATATTTCATTTTTGCATTTACATGATTGATTGAAAGACGGCAAAGCTTCTTAAAATTGTTTTAATCACTTTGTTTACCTACGGAGAAAAGCAATTTCCACTAGGCACTTGCAAATTCTTATTTGCATATCTATGCACGTCTCCAAACTCATGAAGTTGTGTGTATTACGTATATCCCATTTTCTTGTATATCAATTATGTCTCAATAAACCTGTTTGAAAAATGAAACGGGCATCTTTCTCAAATTCACAATTGTCTCATGAAGACAAACAAGATGGCTGTTCTTAGAGCATCTCTGAAGAAAAATGCTAAGAAACCTAATTTAACCATTTTCCCATTTGGATTAGGAACTCCCCCCCCAAATCTCTACTTAATTATTTGTTCCTCTGAAAAATCGTAGAAGTAAATTTGTAGAAAAGCCTGTCAGGCTTTTAAAGAATGTGACTTTCTCATGTCCTGTCTCAAGTAAGCTTCTGAAGGAGCCATGCTTCCTCAAAGGAAATGTTAGTAAGATCTGTACCATCTCTCTCTTACCATGGTCTTAAAAATAATTGTATGATGATTTATCAAAATTACAAAAAAAATTACAAAATTACAAAATTAGTTTAAATTACTAAGGAAAACTTTCATGAGTTTACTGGAAGTTTTTTTTTTTTTTAAATAGAGCTGATTTGGCTGTCTTTAGGTTGATGTGGGAACAGAACTGAAATAGATTAAATGATTCTTGCTAACTTTATCATATTGGTCTCATTTATTGGCATAGATAACAAGGGGGTACTGAGAGTTAAAAGGAAGTGGTAACAGTTAATTTTACAAAATAGGAACTCCAAATGCATCCAAGCTATGTGGGAGGCCACCCAGATAGGGAGCCATCTGGCTTCTCCTCCTGTTTGGCTGGCTGAGACTCCCAGACTAAGCAAAATATACGTTCAGTTTCTAAGCCTGCTCGTCGCTGCACAAGACTCTATGATGTCATTTGCAGGTGTGAATGTGGCAATGTTCATGGTTGCTTTGGTAACTTGACAAAGTAAATTTGGGGTTTTAACCCTCAAGAAAGAATGTTCAGGTGCTGACTTTTTTTTTTTTTAAGAATTAGCTATTTTGAGATTTCAGTAGAATCTACATATTTTAAAATGCCAGAAAAACCAGAGTTTACTAAGGTGCAATTAAGAAGTGACGGCTTTTTCTTCTCACAATGAAAGTAAGTGGTTATACATTTGCTCCAAAGAAGATGCTGCCTTCAGGACCGGTGTTTTAACAGCAAGGAAGCCACTTATAAAAGCTCTCTTGTTAAAACAAAAAAGGAATACTATTCTCATACTGATGTATGCCTGTTTACTCTTGCTTCTGAGTAATTTCTAGCTTTTAAAATATAAAACTACCCTCAAAAGACAGGGTTTTTCCACACGTGAGGATATCTATTTTTATAAAAGAATATGCCATAAATTGGGAACTCTGTTCTCAAGGAGGAATCCTTAAATTAGTTTGGCCAATTAGTCTTTGAAATAAGAATAGAGTCCTCCAAGGTGATACACAGAGAAAGACAACAATCATTTTTTTTCATACAAGTTCTAGCACCTACTTCTGCCCTTGTAGGATGGTTGCTAGCCACACGCTCTCTGTTTGTGACCAGTAGGGGGAGAAAGAGTGCTTTTCTCTAGCTTTGCAAGCAAAAATCCCAAGGTTCATCCTAACTGGACTAGCTTAGTTCACTCACCCACCAGTGATGTTTACTGGGAAAGAGGACTGTGCAGCTTGCCTTCAACCAAGCTGGGTCATTCCCAGAGTCAGGAGCAGGACTAAGCTTCTAAAAACACAAGGGCTCTCTGGAGGAGATGTGAATACTTAAAAAAAAAAAATCTGGGTACTGGTAAGAAGAGGATCACGAATCTTGAATTCACATGCCTATATGTTCAAAAGTGAAAATATTAAAGTGTGTCTAAGTTTTAAGGTAATACAGGAGGTAAACAAGGAGATATTTCCAGTGCCCCGAGGGAACATGTCGGAGAACTTAACAGAACTCAGAAGCAGAGGAGAGCCGGCAATGATGGTGTTATGAGGAACACATAACAGAGACAGTGGTCTTCCTTAGGCCTTAGGGGGACACAGCATTAAGAAACATCAAAAGCAGCTTCAGTTTGAGAACCCGAGAAAGGGAGATCTTCCAGCTGAAATGAAGTTGAGAAGGGGTCACAACTGTCCCCAGAACTGTCTTAGGCGTGAGCAGGTCCTTAAATAAAGGCAGAGGTAGCAGCCACTAAAATACAAGACTGAAAAAATGACTGTTTATCCTTAAAAAGCTGTGGAGGCTACTAGATAAAACTCCCCATCAGGGCAGCACGTAAGCTGAGAACCCAGAGCTCAAAGGAGAAATGGAAGTCTACTGGGGTCCACTGAATGACAAAGAAAGACGTCTTAGACCAGTGCTGGTGCCTGAGCTGTGCTTGTTGCAAGCGTGTACCTTTGCCCAGAGGCAGCGATGTCTCAAGTCTGTTCAGCAAGAAATGATACCATTTGTATGGGAGTTCCTCCTCCCTAGTTATGGTAAATGCATAGTGTTTGAATTAATGCCCTGTGAAAAGATATCTCATAACCACATTTTGGTTCACAGGTCATGGATTTTGGATAATTGAGTAGACTTTCTGGCATCCTGCTGATAGAATCCATCTTCCCTCCCTGTGTTAGATATCATCAGATCTCAACAAATACTGTATTCTAAGAGTAGCATTTTTCACGGGAGAACTACCCTAATTCCAGCGAGAGACATCTCAGACCACAGGTGCTAACGGGACAACTCCTGAAGCAGAGAATGAGCCAATCAAGAAATCAAAGAGGTCTTCACTTCCTTGGAACTGTAACTCAGAGTTGTGAGACAATTTGATTTTGGATTTTAGTGTCTTTGGACTTGAATATGCTATGTTGAATTGTATGACTGGACAAATTGGGGACACAAAATAGAATGAGTACATTTTTCAGTGTTATTTTTTTCCAGTCTAGTTTCTGCACAAGGCACTGCTTGGTTCCCATTTTTGGTTCCTGTGCTTGGGTGCGGCTGACTTTACCCTCAGCTCCCGGAATAGACACCAGTCTCAGGCCTGACTAGTAAATGTGCTTTGTTTTTCTGGATCAAAGTGACTGGGTCATGGGTAAATATGTGACCCTAGCAAAGTCAATCAGATTGCTCCCTAGGAACTTTGCTGGATTTATTGGGAAAGAGGTACCGGCATTTTGTTGGGATTCTGGCTCTAGGGTTAATAAACCCCATTGCTGCTGAGACATTTTTTTATCATCACTTGAGGGGCCCGAGAATGAAGCCCACACAGAGGAAAGCAGAGCTAAATAATGAAGATGCAATGTCTTCTTTTTTTGAGCCTCTCAGTCCTACTGTATCAGCATCTCAGCTTCAGACTGGGAAGTTGTAACTTTTTTTTGCTTAAGCTGATATGAGTTAGGATTCTGGCTAATTGAGTAAGCAGAGCAGATATATTCTCTCTTTTACAAACTTAAAGTATCGTGAAAGAATGAATAGACGAATGAACAAACACAGTCTACAGTGACACAGATTGTGCATTGTGTGTCACCATGAAAAACAAAAAGACCAAAATAATATCTGTTCACTCCCCAGGACTTTCTTACAGGTCATGGATTTTGGATAATTGAGTGAAGAACTTTGTGTTTTAAGTCTGAGGCATCCTAAGGAGAGCTCAGATATTTAGAAAACAAACTTCTTTTCTTCCGGTCCAATTGGTTAGCAAAGCGGAGTAATGTGTATCAATATTACCAAAGGGGCAAAAAAAAAAAAAGAAAAATGAAGAGAAGATACTGTCATTTTTCTGAGATACAGAAATGTGTTGAAGTTGTTACATAACGTTGTCTAGTGCCCCTCCATGGAAAATGATTAAATTTTTAATGCTACTGTAATGCTGTGTATTTGTAGTGAAAAATAATTGTATAAAAATGATGTCTTACCTGCAAAGAGAAAAGAAAGAAAACTTGGAAAATTATAAGAGAATTGTGTTTACATTTATGCTGAGAGTCGGTCCTTGAAGAAAATTGGGTTTATAAGAGACTGAGGAAGAGAAAGGAGACATTTATAGTGATGCTGAGAGGAGATGGTAGGGACACTTTTTAGTGCTTTGGGGGTCGAGGGTGATGACTTTCATTATGTCCAATGACACTTGGGATTTATGACTTTCCCTCTCCAGGTGTGCTTGCATTTTCAGACGCAAGTTAAGAAATATCGGAGGCTCAAAAATAAAATGAGACGCTTAGAGGGAGAGAGATTTTCCTGAGAGCATCTGAAAATTTTGAAAGAGAGGGAAAGAAGGAGGGGAGAAATTTACAGGCTAGGTAAGAGAACTTGTGAGTTGGGCAAGGTGAAATTTCCAGAGCTTCCAGTAAAGAAAGAAACATGGAGAAGCCACAGGGTGACACAGAACACGTTCTATGAGGAAAATAAAGACAGTGGTGGTTGAGGGTGGGGAGGGTCTGTCACTTTACAAACTTCCTGGTGAAGCTACCACTCATCCTAGAGTGTCTCTTAGTTTGGGTTTTCCTGGAAGTGGATTCTGAGACTAGGGTTTGCGTGCAAATGTCTATTTTAGGAGGGGGTTGCTGGAGGTACCAGTAAGAGAGTGGGGAACCGAGGCAGGCCAATGCAGTGTGCATTTAACGAACAGGTTATTGCTGTGGGAAGATGCATGGCCCTTGATGACCTCTGGGATTTATTGTAGACACACAGGAGGTCAAGCAGTCCCCCCACCCCTCTTCTGCCTCCTCTGGCCTGCCCTCTACGCAAGATGGATGTGCTTCTGACCAAAGAAAGCCCTTAGTCCGAGTCACAGGCGCTTTCAGTAGGAAGCTCAGGGTGCACTCAGCACTGAGTGCCAACAGGTAGGGTGGGAACTTGGAGCATCTGTTGGGGAAAGTTATGAAAAGGTAGGCACATAAGAAAAAGTTCACTGGGAAGATCTTCAACTCACTGATGTTCATACTTGGGATGTGTCGTAAGTCATTTGTTTGCAAAGCTGTAAAACGCTCCCAGTTCTAGAAAGCCGAAAGCATTTCCTCTAGCGTAGTAATGATGGAGGGGATTTAGGAAGGAAAAGAGGGGCAATGATTATCATTTCCGTTTCACCTATGGAAAAATGATCAATTGCATGAATAGGCCAAGATCATTCCATTTTAGTGATGGCACTAGAACCAGACAAAGTGTGTTTAGTGTTCCT